ATAGCTCGGGTGTGGGAAGACAGGGCTGCTATAGGCGACTCGTAGTGGACTTAGAGAGGAATATGTGCCAGGAAAGTCATGCCGAGATATTATAGGTGAAAAGGATGAGGCAGACAATGACGGCGACGACAATGATGTTAAATAAGAGCCTAAGAAGGTAACCTGCGATTGTTATTATTATCTCCGAATCCAAGCCCAAGTTCCAACCGTCGAATTCGCGGGGAGCAGTTCCCTGGGTCAACCTGTCAAGGGTGGCCAGGAAAGATGATTGAACGGGCGAGGGAGGAAAAGCGCGGGGTTTATGATGATTTAGTCGAAGTTGTGGGCGTTATCGGTCAGGACAAGAAAGTAAAAAACATAGGTTTTGGGTAAAGTAAGGCACGGGTGGATTCCGCCCGAATCGATGGAAATGGGTCTTAGTCTGTTAGACTCTTAGGCCTTTGGAGGAGCTTAGGAGATAAATAGTAGATAGATAGCCCTGGAGGATCAATACTGTGCGGATTATCTATCTGTAATAGCTCCTGAGTGCTAAGTAGCTACTCTTCTGAACCCTGTGAGCAGATGGCGTCCAAACATGGGCCAGATTCAAATGGAACAGGTGAAATGTGGGCATTCACTATCAGGAAGACACACACGCTGATGATAGGGATGGCAGAAAGATAGTGGAAAAAGAAAAAAGGGAGCCAAAGGGAAGGAAATGATGGCAAGGGACAAAAAATAATAATATGCGGGTGTGTGTATGTGTGTATGTGTGTGTGTGCCAGTAGATAGTTGCAGCAGAATCATCGGGGAATAGGCGTCAGCTCTTTCAACTAACTGCCTTATACCTATCTAATTACAGTAGTCTGGGAGAACTACCCGACGAAGTCCCTTAAGTAGGTACACCTGGTACAGTAAATACTTCATGCATTTAAGTTCCATTGATGACTTGCCAGGATGGACCCAAAGTGACGGTTCCTCCCATTGGCACTACAATTGTTGTTGCTGCTGTTACACGCTTCTTTGGATGGTCTTGCTTCCATCCAAGTGGTGACCATATACTTACAGCTTGTCAGTATGGATGAGGCTTGTGATCATGAGCTTGACAAATCAGCAGGCGAATAGATGTGATCTCAAGCACCAAATGAACCATTGAAGAACAGATGATTCGAGAAGATTACCCTTTCAGAAGGCTGGCCGAGAGAGGAGGAACCTCGAGAACAATTCAACAGTCCGAGACATCAACGACTAAACTTACCACGATCACAAGCTGCAAATGCCGGAGTGTCTTGATTGGTGGTAATTCGGGTACTGCTGCGCTACACCTCCAGATACCCCAGTTGTACGGTACATATGAGGTACTACTAGGAGTGACGGGCCGGATAACTCCAGAAGTGTCCAAGTGATGAAAGTATCAAGCTGGGTGCTCAGATCGCAGCAACCATTTACGTACTTCTACTAGATACAGTTCACAGTCATATCTAGATAGTTAACTAGAGATGCAGAAGACCTCCGAGCACCCGCCGTACTGGTGGAAACTATTGTAAGTAGACCCAGTTCAGATAGTTAGATTTCACAAAATCCTGGTGAAAAAAAAAAAAAAAAAAAAAAAAAAAAAAGAAAGAAAGAAAGAAAGAAAGAAACCACCAAGATGACTGGAGAGATGACAAAGGAACGAAGAAAAAGAAAAAAAAAAGTGACATAAAAAGAATCCCCGATCTCGATGCAACATTTGGTTCTGTGCCTCTCCCTCGAGTTCCCATGCAGTTGGAAGCGGCCACATGTCACAGCAGGATATGCTGTTGTGTTTTATTGTTTTCTGCGCTAATTGTCATTTGTTGATTGTTCTTGACTGTTGTCCTTGAGCTTCACTAAAAGTTACTACTAATGGGTAGGAAGAAATCAGGATCTCTTCGCTCGTGGATCATCATTCTTCTGGCCATGTCTGACGGACCAACGAAAGACTTATGGTCATCAGTATCATGGTTCAGTGGTCGCGCTCACAGTTTATCTCATTTTTTCTTGGACTTCATTGATCAAATGAGCAGACAACTCTGTTTAATTTCTGCATTGGTCAGCCTTGTAGCCCAATGGCAATGACTGTCATCGAGCATCAATGCACCTAAATGTGTGCATGGAGCACTGCTCTGTACTACAAACTAGATGCCTGCCGATTTGCATACTACTGCACCTGTGACGAATGTCGACTGTGGATGTCACCTACCGCTGATATTGCCTGGTGTTTCATCCGGTCACTCAGCATAGCAAGTGGCATTGCTCCAAGCTTGCCATACTTCGTACCCTGTAATATCGAGCGCAAAGGGTCATGATGGAGATAACCAAGATGCCACTTGGGATGTCAGTGCTCTTCAAATGCTGACCAATTTAGAGTTGGGACTCCGTTGTAAGGCTTCCAATAACAAACCCCACTCTGCAATGAGAATGTGATGAATGATGACATTGTCAGCAAGTCTGTTCCCGCAGAGAGCATCAGATGATGAGTTCACGTGATGTGCACAGGAATCAAATGCGTTCAAAGTGTGATGCTCACCTCTCTTGCTTATTTTCATGCCCTTCACTCTGTCAATCTCCATTGCTAGCAGGGCTGACATTATCCTGAACGTGCTGCGGAATCAGGCCACCAAATGCAGTTGCTTCCCTGGTAATCAATCGCGCTCGGGGTCTCGGTTTCAATGATCCAGTAGATCTTTAAGAAATGGTGACTCTTTCTGCCGATTGATGGTCTCGGACGGTCTGTCCGTTGGGCGACGCTTCCGAACTGTCCAGCTGGTGCATCTATCCCTTCATCCTGGTCCCAAGACTCCTGCCTGTTCCGGCCGAGGCCTCTTTAAGTTGATCCAGGACTTACTTAGTATCGACATTTTATCCGGTTGTATGGTCCTGCCTGACTCAGTCCCGACCAGTAAAGACATATACCACAGTACTCTCATTCCTTCATCGTCATGGATGAACACTTTCCTGGTAGAGTTCACCAATCTCGATCCAACTAGGAGGAGGCTTGCATATGCGGCCTCGGAAGTATCTCCGAAGCAATCACATACACATATCACATACTAGCTACTGAACCATGGAGCTCTTTGATTGCTTGATCTATCGTTGCTGGTTTGACAAACCAGGCTATCCAGCAGTCCAGTTGACTAGCGGTTGCCTTCCTTCTCATCTTCCGCTGGTGGAATCCCCGCCATTGTGGTTTGATAGCTGCAAGGCATGAATCAGATTGAACGATGGCCCCGGTCCCTGACCCGGTAGCCACGGTGGCAATGGTGAGCCCGAGAAATAGTTACCTGCCTTACTTGACCTATCTATTGCCTTTGCATGAAAATCCAGACCATCGAATGAATACTCCCTCGTGTCTTTTCATGCTCCCATCCAACCATGCAGAAGCTACACATTGCTCTAATTAAGCCATTGCGGTCCTTTCATGCACATGGCAGCCTTCTAATATATCACAGACATCTAAACGGGCGTGAGGCAGCACTTTCTCGTGTTACTATTGAAAATCCAGCCGCAGCTCTGATGCAGCAATCCGCATCCACGGAGTACTTTTACACCTCGCAGATCAATGGTACTTTTCTGTTCTTTTTGAGATCCCAGCGTTCCTTTTTTCCTTGTTTATCCCCTGCTAATAGTGAAAGACTATGATATTACCTCCATCAGACTCACCGGTAATCACGCTGTTCGATAATGCGGAGATTTCTCGGAATGCAATGTCCAAATCATCCATATCGCCGATTTTGCCACCAAAGTAATGGATCAAGTCTGAAACTACCCTTTGATCGACTTCCACTACGGAGTACACTAGTATCTATTGACCAAGGTGATAATGATAATATGTAATGGCCAAAGTGGATAGACGATAGTAAATAGATAGTGGATCTTTAATTGACACGGGATTTGAAGGTTTCGGTAAGAGCGGGGCCGCACCAATAAATCATATTCCTATTCATATTCATGGCACTGTGGCAGACTGCCAATTGGCAAAAGTGCTCCATCTGGCATTCTGTAGGTACGGTGTAGAGTCCGTACCTTACGTAAGGAGTACGGAATAGTATGGCACGTACCTAGGGACTCAACAGAGGTACCTAGGTACGGAGTACGGAGTCCTACTGCTGTCAAGGCGAGGACAAGGCGGCAGGATGAGGCAGGTAGCAAGTACACTACTTGCTGCATGTGTACCTAGCGAGTCCCATGTAGCGTGTACACCCTTTGAATGATTGGCATGGGAGGTCCCGTCCGGTGAGTGGCCTGCATTTGATACTACCTTACCTACCTACCCGGGAACGGAACCTAAGGTAGGTATGCTTGGAGTCGACTTTCGATCAAATCATATCTAGAGAAAGTAGTATCGAGGGCAGACGAGTAATCATCATAAAGCGCTCCGTCTAAATCCTCGACTAAGGCTTAAGCATCCAAATCCTTCTACGGAGTGAGTACGTACGGAGTACACTGTTACAGAGGATGAACTGTCCGATCTCCACAGAACGATTATGATAAAGTGTCTGTCGTCAATCGTCATACAGTTGCCTCGTATCTACGGCTACGAACAAACCATCTGCAGTTTGTAGTCTAGTCGTAGTTTAGTCCGAGCTGCTTAAGTAGCTGCTTGATGCTTCGCCTTCGTTCCGGGTTCTCCACCCATGGACGGGTTCTCAACTTCTCCTGGTGGGCTCCTCGGTCTGCCAAAACGCATCGAGTGATCGAGTCGAAAGTCAGATAGTCCAGACACAGCGAATCACCGGCGGTTATCTCCACCAGTATATATTGCATTAGATAGTTACAGTCTTACAGACTCCGTGGATACATTATCTGGTATCTGAGACTCGCGTGTCCCTGGTTACCCCCCGGGTTGATCACTTACTGCCTTGGCATAGACGAACTTGGTTATCCCCTAGCTCGTGAAGATTTTGCTTCCATTTCTGCCATATCTCCTGCAAGCTGCAGCAAACAAGGGTCATGACCGGTCCAGCTTCCCGGAGATAATATCTCCTTGAGTCTCTAGGCTAGAAGGCTCCTAGACCGGCCTTGGAACCCTGTCCTCCCTTGCCCTTCCACCCTGTCCGTAATCGATAGTTGCCAGCTCGTAAACCCGCGGTAGGCGCCTCGTCTCCAAACGCCGATTGGAGCATCGAGCCCCCTCTCATCCCATGAAGCTGTGCCGGCTCGTCGCTCTTGAATCCCTCGCCATCGACTAATGTCGCCCGCCAGAGGCTTTGGAGCGACGCGCTCCACTCCTCAAGAGCACGCAGTCGATCCACATCGCTGGCGCTTTCAACAACAACCGTTCCATTTTCCTGGTCGATCTTGGCGTTCAACTTCTTGTCGAGGATCAGGTAACTCAGGATATCCTGCACTTCTGTGACAGATATCTTGATGTGCTTGGAGATGAAACTGAGCGAGAACCGCGTGTACGGAGCAATAAATTTGAGAACAGCTTTCGTCCGCATGTTACGGCTCACTTCGTCGATGTTTTCCGCGATAAAAGGGTCAGCCAGAACGTCCGGGTGCTTGCTCAAAACCGCTTCGTATGCATGTATATCGTCCCGTTGGAATGCATCGACTAAATCTGTCATGGCTTGGATACGGGGATCGTTCTTGTAAGGCTTCGTCTCTTGTGAATCGAAGGGGTTGATGTCGGACTTCATCAGCATCGTTGTGAGGACAAGGTATTTCAAAACTTGAATTCGTTGCATCGAGCCTGCTTCGTCGTAGTTTCGGAATGACTCGAAAAAGTCGCTCTGAGCCTCTTCCCAGTTTTCCTCGCTCATATGCATTTTGCCTCCGCATTCGCGGATGATTCCCATGATCTTGGGGTGCGGTACCGCCGACCGCACACGGAGTGCGCGCTGATATAGCGCCTTGAGCCGTTTGTTGTTTTTTGTCTCGGCGTACATCTGAATCTGCAGGGCATACAACTCAAGCAAATATGTCCCTTTACTGGGATCATCCGAGCCATCCTCTCGCTGGCATGCACGATGCAGCTCCCGCACTTTCTTGCTCAGTTGGCCATATTCCTTGCGCTCCAACCACAGGCGTGCCAGTTTGATGTTTGTTTTAAGCCACAGGCGCTCGTTGTTCGTGTTCTGAAATGAGTTGAGGGTTAGGGAATAGAATTCTTCCATGCACTGATATGCCCTGTCGTCGTCCGAAGCCTTTTCGATGTAATCGAGCATGTTGTTGATCGACTTTTCAGAGTAGTTGCGAGTGACAGCGGATTTAACGTAGGTAAGGAGCTCTCGATAGTGTTCGACTGCCTGGAAGTAATCAGCCTTCGTCGAGACAGGGCGACTGTCGAAGACTGATGACCTACATCGCCATATCTGCCAAGCTTGAACTCCAACTTGATCGCTTGTTTTAGTCCTTTGAAGCCCCTTGTAAATTATCAGTGGTTTGCCTCGGTCGACCAGTTAAAATGGAGCAAGATGTTATTACCAGTCGCCTTTCTCGTCCTCCAGCGCAGGTACACCGAGAAACTCATCTATGGCCTCCTCCGGGTTGTCAATCTTGATCTGTTTCGCATTGTAGTATTTGTTCTCGATTCCCACGTCCCCCGACTCATCTTCGTCTGCGTCTTCGTATTCAAAATCATACCTAGATTTATCATCAGTTAACCAAGACAGGAGAGGTTGCATGGAGGATGTGTGTGACATACTCCTCGTCACCGGAGTCTTGCATGAAGTCATCATCGTCAGACATGGCCAAAAAAAGGGCTGTGGTCGAGCGAAGAGATTTCGGATACGTGTGTCTAAATATTAGTGAAGTGATACGATTGATAATTCAGTAACTCAAAGGGTCAACGTAGGAAAGGCGTCAGTCATTAAAGGATGATGATAGATGGAAGAGCTCCTGGGGATTCTGAGCTTGAGCTCCCGCGCCTATCAGAGCCTCGGAGCCTGGGGCATAATTGCTTCCCCCGCGCTAGATAGGTAGATATTGGCCCCAACGCCTGACTAGACTATTTGATTGTTTCGACTTTCGAACAATGTCGGTAATAGTTCAAAATAATATCCAGTTACATATACAACAACATGTTGAGCGGCTTTTCTTGATTGTGCCCAGCTTATTTGGGTCTTGTTTGCTAGAGTTGCCCCATGATTATCATGCCAGCTGTAGTCTACTCCGTATGGCTATTATATACCCAACAACAGAGCCTTAAAAGTACTGCAAGCTCAAGGGCTGGTCGTCCGATATACCACGTCTAAACTTGAATCTTTAATGAAAGATGTAAACCTTGAGTCTGACGTTATGGTCAAGGGACATAAAGCCTGTTGTGGGCCTGTGGCACAAGTCATCTCAAACGCCTCGAATGAAACGCATACATACATAGTCCATGCTCACACTGTCTATGAATTCCTCAATTTACCTCTCTACCTCAATGCGAATGGGAGGAATAACAAGCTCCGGAAGCTAGCTATCTCTAAGCTCCAGCTTCCAGCGCTGACTCTACTGAGTTTAGAGATCCAGAAGTGGATCATACAGTGGAGTGAGCCTTCGGAGCTCTGCCATGCCAATGTCTTAGATGATGCAAATACTTGGAGTCTTGGGCAGTTTACGCATATCTCAACTACGTTAAACAGATCATGCGCTCGATTCTTGTTCGATTCTTGTGCTGCCATGTCTGAGTCGTTGGTACAAGAACCACGGTTCTTGCTTCGCTCGGATTGACCAGCCACTCATCATGAGCATCAACACGGCTACTGAAAATGAACAGCCAGTAACTGAAATTTGAACCTGGATAACTATCTGTACCTTGCCGTCGTGGAGACAGGTTCAGGGCCATGGTCGAGGCATCTATCGTGGGAAGCGAGATCAATGCTAATGGAATCCTCTTGGCAGATGGCGATCGTCCTATTCGCGGACTGCCAGCACTGCAGCAGGATCCGATGTCATCGACACTGCACGGCCCACGAGGCATGACTTTGCGCCGCCTTCGATTCTGGACCTGGCAAGCTTAAACTTACCAGTTATGGTGTGGACTACTAGATAGATAACTAACAACCGGTTGTCGTTTTCATCTATTCGTATTCCTTTAATTATTATTAGGGGCGACATTCCTCCCTCAACATTCCTTCATTAGTATTCTTGCCCTCTCGCTGTCCTCTTCATCTGGTATATACGTCCTGCCATCACTGGACTCTACCCCATTCAAACCCCCCTTATCCAACTCCTCCCTCCACATCACCAGGGGATCCTCGAAACAGTGTGACAAAATGGAGCTGTGCGGGCGCCAGAAAGTTGTCCAGCGCAAGATGGTGCTCTTGTTAGTTTTGCATATGGCTCGTGTTAATTTCCAGGGTGACAGCAGCCTGACTAACTATGTTGGACCGCAGAGGAGATGGAGCTTGCGGCAAGACGTCAGCTCTGAATGTGTTTACAAGAGGGTCAGCAGTTCGATCAATTTCTTTTCATACCGATATATTGAGCATTTGCTAACCATGCTGATAGATTCTTCCCGACCGTCTAGTGAGCTCGTCCTTTCCCAGTTATGTACAAATCAACCCAGTGTTAACCCATGCGAACTCTGATACAGTGAGCCGACTGTGTTTGGTGAGCGCATTTTTCAGATGCAAAATCGGTATATGCTAATAGTTGCTTCTTGGTAGAAAACTATGTCCACGGTATTTATCCTATTTCGCCCAACGCAGGTCGAAAGATACTCATTCGTTCCAGACATTTTCGTCGACAACGTACACATGGAGTTGTCGCTGTGGGATACAGCCGGTCAAGAAGAATTCGATCGATTACGGGCACTGTCCTACGAGGATACTCATGTTATAATGCTATGTTTCAGCGTGAGGCTCCTGCTGCGCCTGAAGGGAAGAAGTTTGGAGACAAAAGCCTGACCATGCCCTTCTGTTGTGCAGGTCGATAGTCCCGACTCGTTCGAAAATGTGGCAACGAAATGGATTGACGAGATTCGCGAGAATTGCCCGGGCGTGAAGTTGGTCCTCACGGCACTCAAATGCGATCTGCGAAAGGACGATGAGCTGAACGACAACCCGAACGCTATCACATTCGAACAAGGATTAGCAAAAGCAAAAGAAATCGGCGCTGTGAAATATCTTGGTGAGAGACTCCTCAACGACGACTCAGCGATCAGCTACTGATATGTGATTGATATGGTAGAATGCTCTGCCGTTCAGAATCGCGGTATCAGGGAGACCTTTTATGAAGCCGCCAAGGTCGCTCTTGATGTGAAGCCTGCAGGATCCAGCGGGTCCAAGGGGCAGTGCATTATCCTTTGAACAACCCGTTCCATGCGCCGAGGAACAGCTTCATTCAGTCCGATTCGCAATTCCTTTGTCGATTTCTCTCACTATCAAACGGCTCGTGTCGACTCATGCGAATCAGTCGCATATTATGGCTGCTGATCACAGATACCCTACGTCTTTTCCTACCCCGTTGGGGTCTTTTCCTACCCCGTTGGCTACTCTTTAGCTACTTCAGCGCTTCAGCGTGACATTCGTCGACAACTTCTTTTCTCTATATATACTTTTCAGCACCTATATTCTTCTTATTCTTAATGTCTTTTGGGTACGTGACTATCAAGAGGTATACCCGAGTACGGATTGTGGAGCACTTTGTTGTCTTGCAGCTTGTCTACTTGATTCCCTTTCTTTTGGTGATTGGTATCATACAATTGGAGTGACCAACGCAGGTGACGAGTTCAACTTCCAATTTTCTTCCAGAACACGCGTATCTTTACTACCTAGGTATCTTGCCAACTGTGATGACTATGTCGAAGTCTATCGGATGGATATTGCAGCACTACTATGCAGATTGAAATCTTATACACCGCTGTCACTGTGAAGCTTTTGCCTTCCCCTCTCTATTGTCGGAGGAGATCCTCTTCCCGGACACTGTACACACCCTCGATCTTCTCCCCCATTGCACTCCCCCCACATGCAAAATCCGCATTCACCCTCTGTACAAACGCATCCACAAACTTGTCCGCAACCTCCCCGATCGACACACCCGGCACACCCTCGCCCTCCAGACTGGTCGCCTCCCGCCCCTCAAGCCCACACGGCACAATCTGCTTAAAATACCACATCGGCTCCTCCGTCACATTAAACCCAACCCCGTAGCTACTGATATTCCGCCGGAGATGAACCCCCACAGCGGTGATTTTCTTAGGCAGAACACCATCTGCATCCCCGTCCCCACCCGCAGACACAGCCATAGCCGCAGCCGTGTTCGTAGCCGGCCGCGGCCGCACCCACACCCCGGGGTCCTCGGTCACAAAACCCTGGACACCATACCCGCGCAGAACATCGATGACACTATTCTCCAGCACGCGGATATGGCACCGCGGGGTGAGGCCCAGCCGTCGCAGATCCAGAATCGTGTATGCGACCATCTGCCCGGGCCCGTGGTAGGTCGTCTGCCCCCCGCGCAGGGTGGGATGGTACTCCGCTCTGGGCGAGCCGTTGGGTGGTGCGGTGAGGATGGAGCGGATGGGTTCCAGGGACGGCGGGAGGGAGAGAGGCGCGGATGGCGAGGAGGGGGCGGTGTTGGACGGTGGGAGGTCTCGGCGGCCGGTTGTGTAGACTGGGTTTGGGGTGAAGGTTATGATGGTGGGGTCTGGGGGTGTGGGATCTGATCGGCTGGACTGTATCGCTGCTGTACCTGCGGCTACTGGAGAGCTCAGTCGCTTGTATGCGAGGAGACGGGTGGTCAGGATTTGCTGGAGATGCGCGACCCGGGTGAAGGAGGTGATGTCGGGGAAATGAAGGTGTGCAAGCTTCATGGTTGGAGGTATGGTGGTGGGCTGTTCTTGCAATTGGGTTGAGGCGAAGCTTGGATGCAATTGAGACTGGATTAATGCATCATGTGAAATGGTAGGAACGAGAATTGGGTCAGTTGCAATGAGATTGATTGGATCGAACAGAGTGAAGCGTATGGAGACTTGACCGAATTTCGTCGGAGGTGTCCGGGGTGTTGATAAGATCCCTTGTGACGTGAGATCATGTGATAACCAAACAGCCTTTCTCAATACCTTATTACAAGATTTATCAATTGTGTTTGCGATGAAAGATATACATTGATTCCCTTCTTTCGTGACTACAATACATTCTTACGGCTTGTGAAGCCTAATTGCTGAAGACAAAGATTTCCAACGGTCATAGATCGAGAAAAGTATGTATGCAAGGCCCATGTGCTCATAAAACCCCAGTGTGCCGCATAACCAATTTTGTGAAAAGGCCAGCAGGCTGCTCAAAGAAAGTAAGGACGATTCATCAAGGTGCTGAGCTGAATAGCCCAGGCTATGGAGTCACGGCGCCGTTGACGAGTGTTTCGTCGGCTTGTCGCTCGCCATCAGAGACCAGTTTCCAATCCCGTACGCCACCCTTCCAGTCTGCAATACGACCTTCTCTTACCCGGACCGTGACAACCCGTACGTCATTGTCAATTGATAGGCTGGGTCTCCGTTGACCAGCAGCTTGCTGCTGTTGACCGAACGTACCCAGCTCTTCCTCGAAAGTGTTGTTCTCCAGATGTCTCTCTTTGCACCAGGCCTCTTCCTCCGAACCAGGTTCCAAAAATCGGGCGGTGCCAGCGATCGTTGTCGAAATGCTGGAGAGTGCGCTGGTATTCAGATTGAGGAGCAGACTAGCCAAGGACGACCGGGTTGCGGCGGGCGGCGGGGAACCGTCGCGCTGCCCACCAAGACTGGGGGCGCGGGTGGGAGGACGGTGAGACACCCAGTCATGAACCAAAAGAGAGACTCGTGGATTGGTCATGAGATGGTTCGTCTTGCGTGACGAAGGATTCGTTGTCATAATGATCGTTGGGTATGGATCAAAGGGGGTTGAAGGCAGATAGGTGTAGGACATGAGAGAGATGTGGGGAGTAAGGCCATCGCATGTTGCAAGATGAAGCTGTTCAGAACCAGGTCAGCCAATATTGACGAAGAGACCGCATGATCAAGAGATGGAGAGTAGCAACGTACGAATCTGGAGTTTTTTAGGCACGCAATTACCTCGGGAGGGAGAGTGGTTCCGACAAGGGGATGAGTGGTGGTGGCCGAAGCCTCGTATGAGAGAGGTGGATTTAAAGAATCCGTCATTGTGTTGCAGCGAAAGAGATTGTAACGAATTCAAACAATAGGTGATGCACTCAATATTTCCCTGACTGGGAAAAAGAATACCAGGTCAGTAGCTATCACGCTGTACTACCTATCTAGGCGGTACACAGCAAGTGGGATGTCTCGATGGAGGGGAATGAAGAGAGAGAAGAAGCTGTGGCGGTGTTTTGACTGGTTGCGGCCGAACCCAGATCGCCGATCGATGGGGCTGCCTTAGGTACCTACCTTAGACTCTGGTACTGAGCAGTATGGGAGAGCCTATGGGGGCTTTCCATCGACGTCACCAAACACCGGACGGACGCGCCAAACATGAGAACTGAAGCTGTTGACTCGAGCATCTGAGATGGGGGCAAATCAAATTGGCATGCCAATCTAGGCCAGTAAAAGGAGTGGGATGGAGCTATTCAGGATAAACATTTATCACGATCAATGATGGACATGCTGGACGTGGAGATCCACAAGTACACGGCTGTCGTCATCAAGTAGTTACTTAGGTATGGTGGCTTTTCAGCTAGCTAGCTCACATTCTGTAGGAGACTGAGAAGCAGAACCAGTTGATCCGTCCACAATCTACGGAGTAATACAGAGGTACATCTATCTACTTATTCCGTTCCTTGTAGCTCTCTTTACCCAGGAGAACAACCCTCTGCTTGCAATTTATCCAAGGCAGCATACTAGCTCCGAAGTACGGAGCTTACCTTAGCACTTTGTCTGGGCTTTGTTTCCCCGCACTTCCAGCAGTGAACTACCTTACCTTAGATCCTTCAGACCTACATAGGTACAGACCTATGGTAACGTAACCTAAGGTAAGCTGCTTTCCCCAGCTTCTTCCAATTTCCACTCAGCTTCAGTCCATTTCATCAACGCACTTGTCCATCTCATTCATTCCCTTTCACAACCAAACCATTGGTGCATCAGTAATTAACCACTCTTCGTACTCTGTATTAGCCTTCTGAAAATAGTTTCATTACTTTACTCCGTGGTTAATTCATACCAGTCTGATTGGGTGATTAGCTGCTTCTCCGCTTCTTCCTCCACCTGCTGGCTGATCACACTGTGCTTGCTACCTGACTTGACGCCACATAGCAACTGCCTCTGTACGACAACCTGCACACTACGAAGTACAGTTCCAGACTTTGAAGCTGTTTTGTTAATACATCGCGTGTCAGCTTTATAAATACTAGATATCCCTGCTTGTCCTCTGTGCTTCCCCTCTTCAACAACTGCCGTCTGTCTCTCTTGCCTGTCTCTGCTCCTTGTGAATCCTTCCCTTTCCTCCCTTCGACTGTCCCTTCAACCGAGTGTACTAAATCAACTGTCGGACCATACAAACTTGCTCTGTTCCTCCACTGTGCCTCAGTTGCCCATCCTCTGATTTTGTCCTTGCTGTCTTCCTTTTCATCTTGTTGTACATTCAGCCCAACATGCTCGCCCCGCGTTTTGTCCGCCCGGTGTCTTCGCTCGTACGGCCTTTCAGTTCCTCTACCACCGTCTGTCGAGCTCCTTCCATCCGTGACATTACCGCAGACTCGGCCGCTGAATTCAACGCGCGTCAGAAGGAGTTCCGGGAGAATTTGGAGGCAGCTCGCAAGAAGAAGGAACAGCAAGAGAGTCAGTCTGTCGATGCTTCTGGTTCTACCCCAGCTTCCCCTGTTATTCGTGATCGCTTCCGTGAGTACGCTACCGCTCCCACTGCTCCCCGAGCGAGCAATGCGAGCAGTGAACTTAGCCCTGTTGTTGATGCCGCCAGCGTCCTTGATAGCAAGGCATTGGGCTTACTTTCCACCCACCGTTCTGTAGGAGACGAGCAGTTGTTGGAAGCCAACCAGTCTCCCAAGCGTGGCCCCTTGTCTTCGCTCATTTACGGAACGAAGGAGGGCCAGCATTTCGACAAGGATATCGAACGTTCGTTTTCGCAAGTCCTCGCCCGTGGCAAATACGTCCATTCGATCGTCTTCCATGAGGTCAAACCCGACAAAGTAGATGAATACGTCCCTCTCGTCGGCGAGTGGTACCCCCGCATGGCCAACACCGAAGAAAACAGGGTTAATCTGGTTGGAAGCTGGCGCACGCAAGTGGGAGATAATGACACATTCGGTATTTACCATCTATGAACCCCCGGAATCTCCGATGCCCTCCTTTTCCGTTGTAGCCGTCTCTATTGAGTGTTGCAATTGCTGACATAGCCTTCCGGCAGTCCACATTTGGGAGTACCAGCGTTACGAGGGCTACCATGCCTCTCTCCATAACATTTCTCAACACCCCGAGTTCCCGGAATTTGACCGCAAGTTGAAGAGTCTGATCAAGAGCAAGAAGACGTCCCTGATGCAAGAATTCTCCTTTTGGCCAACGACCCCTCCGCGCCGCCTCGGCGGTCTCTTTGAGCTTCGGTCCTACACCCTTCACCCTGGAAACTTGCTTGAGTGGGAGACACACTGGCGCCGCGGCTTGAGGGCGCGTCGTGAAGTCATGGAGGGTGTCGGTGCTTGGTTCGTCCAGATCGGTGATCTGAACACGGTTCACCACCTTTGGCAGTTTGCGAACTTGGAGGAGCGCAAGATCCGTCGCGAGCAGTCTTGGGGCATTGAAGGTTGGGCAGAGACCGTGCACAAGACGGTGCCACTGATCCAAAGCATGCAAAGCCGGATTCTGGTTCCCATGCCATGGAGCCCCGTTGGCTAAATCGGTCCGCGCATTGGAGATTTGTAGAGTTTGCAAATCACGAGACCAGGTTGTCAACTTGTCAGATCGTGATAGCCAAGCGACCGGAGCCATTCTGGCTTGGGTTCCTGCACAAGATTCTGAGCGCCATGGTTGAGATTGAAGAGCACCGGCGACAAAGTGCGACTGTCAGACATTGGTAGTTGCTCGGGCCGCTGCTTTGTGGAGACGAGTTCCAGCCTTGCAGGTCTGATTACACTGGCGTCTGGCACACTGTGGCTCTGTACACACTCCACTGTATTCCGCTACCATATCTACTTAGCTTATAAACCAGACCATGGCGCTTTAGTTATGTATCTATCATGTTCCTAGCATTCTCATCAAAGCTGTATTTAGCAGTTCTACCTAGAGGGCTTTCCCCTCTCTCTTTTCGCTTTGCCTCTACCCGCATGTGCTTCCTCGGATCAACAAAGGATTTGTGTTTCAGTAGCCAACTCGGCGGAACTGTGCTTATCTACTCCATGCTGCTGCGGCATCTGATCATAATTAGTTTCCCCCAGTTTTACCCCGCTCTTCTCTGTCTGCGACAACTCGAGCTCAGGCACCTTTTTACTCTTTGGCTTCCTGCGCTCTCTTTAAGTTCTGGGTGGTGTCTAGATAGCGGTAGGACCGAGTGCTGCACGTGCGAGACACTTTGCCAGTTGGTCACAGGTTCAAGCACACAAAGCACGTGACATGCCAATACAGAAAAGCCACTGCATTTCTACTCCGCAGGTTAACACCGACCACGGTTCAAGCTCATTAACAAAAATGTCTCATGAATGAATCACATTCCATCATGTATGTTATATCCGTGGATTAATTGATCGCCTTCATGCATCGAAGTTCCAAGCAAGGAATCTAAGTGTAAAGTACCGTAAGTTCGAATACATGCGGTGGGTTTCTTTGGCCCCGCATGCCGCCCTCAGGGCCGTTTTTCCGCCGGCAGAAAAAAAAGCAGACCAGAGAAAAATTTGGTACTAAAAGGGAACATCAACAACCTACGTACATCACAGCGCTCCATCGGTCCTTTTTCAATATCCCTTTCTCGTCGCCATTACTTTGCTGGGATTTCCACCGATGCATTACTTCTATAATATACACTGAACTTTCGATCTTTATTTTTGGGCTCCTGTCTTTCTCTCAACCTTCTTTGTACTTGAAGTTCAGGATTCACCGCCGTCTTGGCTACTTTCCTGTTGTAAAACAAAGCAAAGCAGCGTCTTTCCCCAGCATACTTCCCATAGAATATCGCGGTGCCAGGAGCAAGACCAAACAAAATGACTTACATTCGGCAGCATCAATTGCCCAATCTCAAGACTTATCGATATGCTGGAGTGGATCACTCGCTGATCAGTCGATATGTCCTCAAGCCTTTCTATAACCGATACGTGATCAACTGTTTTCCCATGGGCATGGCGTAAGTAGCTACGCCCCCATTGATTCAAGTCTTTCGATGCCTGGCCTAGCTAACTGTAGTGTTCTACGTCTTTCTATTCAGGCCTAATGCCGTAAGTCTCTAGTCCTCCTGGCTGGTCGAGCTTTAGCAGACCGACGATCGACAAACTGAGGATTGGTAGATTACCCTGACAGGGTTCTTATTTGTGGTAATCAACTTCATCACCATCTTATGGTACAACCCAACGTTAGATCACGATTGCCCTCCATGGGTCTATGCCACTTGCGCCATTGGGTTGTTCCTGTATCAGACGTTCGATGCAGTAGACGGCATGCAAGCGTATGGACTCCCGTCGTCCTTCCCATCTGCTAGTAGGCTAGATTGACTGAGCTATTGTCCATGCAGGCGGAGAACCAGACAAAGCAGTCCCCTTGGGGAGCTGTTTGACCACAGTAAGTAGAATATAGCCTCAAGGACGAAGAGAAAGCGCGATGTTCATTCTCTTTCCCTACAGGTGTTGATGCATGCAACACGGCTCTCGGAGTGGTAATCTTTGCTGGGGTGACGAACCTTGGTCAGACCTGGGCTACTATACTGAGTCTCTTCGGAGGTACGTCCAGATTTCCTCCTAGAATTACTTTATCAGAATACTAATTCGGGTCAGCCACCATGACCTTCTATGTTCAAACTTGGGATGAATACTATACTCAAGTTTTGACTTTGGGAATCATCTCTGGTCCTGTTGAAGGTGTCTTGACTCTGTGCACCGTGTTCGCTTTCACTGCCTACCAGGGCAGTGGCAGCTTCTGGCACCGCCCCATGCTTGAGACAATCGGTGTCCCCAAGTTGGATATGATTCCCGCTCATATATATGAGATGCCCTTTACGCAGTGGTACCTGATCTACGGCGCCATCATCCTCTTCTTTGCCACTGGGTCCAGCATTGTGCATGTCATGAAGGTTCAAGCTGAACGTGGAAAGGACACGGTTAAACCCCTTTATGGTTTGATCCCTCTGGTTACAATGTGGACGCTTGCACCCGTCTACCTGTACCTGCAACCTACCATTTTGGAACACTACACGGTTCCTTTTATGCTGTTCGTGGGCTTGATCAACGCCTACGCTGTGGGCAACATGATCGTTGCACACCTAATCAAAGCGAGCTTTCCTTTCTTCAATATCATCATCGGTATTGCCCCTCTCGCCTTGGCTGTGCTGGACAGTGCTGCATCCTTGGTTGGTCTTTGGCAGAGTGTTCTTGGTAACGGACCCGGTCAAATCGCCTATCTCTTCGTATGTCTGGGTCTGGCCATTGGTGTGTATGGGAGTTTTGTGGTATGTTCCATGGCCCAGAAATCAGGGACTGAGACTGACAAATACGCAGCACGATGTTATCACTACGATATGTGATTACATTGATATTTGGTGCTTGACCATCAAGCATCCTCATGTGGAAGAGCGGCCAATTGCTAACGGGCAAGCCAAGAAAGTCCTGTGAGGCTAAATACTGCCCACTGCAACCATTCCACTGCATATCAACTATGCAAGTATCACATATAACAGCAAATGCGTGATAGAGAGTCGTTTGGCGAAGAGCTTTCAAGTGGGAAAGAAATACCCTATCGCACTGTATTGTATTGTACGCTTGAACCGTTCAGCCCGGGTTACTGTTTTTCTTCTTCTAGATCGATTTGGATTGAGCTATACCTCAGGTACTTACAGTCTACCTGGTACCTACAATTATAGCTGGTCTGGAAACCAGCCTATGACATGTTTGATGTTCTGCGAAACTTGGATTAGCGATTCATTCAACAATAGCTTTTTCTAATGAATTTGATGCTGTCTCGGATTGAGCTATTCTTTATCAAATTTCTGAAGGCAGCCATGTACGAAATACCCTCCGAGGCACTATCAGAAGTATCTGGATAGATCCAGAAGCCCAGATGATGGCGACATGACTACCTGATCAGGAATAGCGCTGGTAAATACAAGCTATACCTCAACGGACATAACAAAGGGTATGATTGGCTACTGCTTGGCCGGGGATGGGGCGAGCCCGCGGCCCGTGCCAAAATTACCAGTAAGAGGAAGGTAAGCGAGGGTTTGAGCCCTATTCTCCCCAAACGGGCCCGGCTGGGCGACGCCGTCAGAGAATTCCCCTTCAAACTTCGCCATCTCCACGAGACCACCTCTTCGCTTCAACACCCCTCAAGCAGGCCATCTCCATCAGCGCAGCATTTCAATCCATTTCGCTGATCGACTTTTTGTCTCGTCAAGATGGTAGGTTCTTGCATTTTGGCTTCATGCACCACCCTTGAGATATCCCCTAGCGGTTCTGCTGGTCGTCTGCACAGACTCGGAGCTTGCTGTCCGTCGTGTGCTCGCCGTCGCCGGACCGTTTCTTTCTCATCGCGAAAAGACATCAAAGTATCATCGGCTGATACAGTTCTCTTCTTTCCAAACAGGTTCTCGCGGTCGACCTCCTCAACCCTACTCCTCAGGCTGAGGCTCGCAAGCACAAGCTTAAGGTATGATACCGACATACTTGTCCACCAAGGTCCTGGATTCGATGGCTGATGTTGGGAATTTTTCCGCTTCGACAAATAGACCCTTGTGCCTGCTCCCCGTTCCTTCTTCATGGACGTCAAGTGCCCCGGCTGCTTCACCATCACCACCGTCTTCTCCCACGCCCAGACCGTCGTCGTCTGCGCCGGCTGCTCGACCGTCCTTTGCCAGCCCACCGGTGGCAAGGCCAGACTCACTGAGGGCTGCTCTTTCCGGAGGAAGTAAATGTCACATTACGACGCAACCGAAGCCGGAGCGATGATTTAGGAAATGTGGCGTTCTTCTTCGACGATGGATTAATTTTTTTTTGAGAGAGCAGATTGCAGATAGAAGATGGAGTCCTCGCCCCCTTTGCGGGAAATCTCAAAAAATTACAAAGTTCGATCCGAAAAAACAAGCATTACCGGGCAGTTAATTGCCACACTCAAAAAGCGTTGACGATCTGTTAAGCTTTTATTCACATGGAGGGGAGTTCCGGATATCTGGCACATGAACAAGGTCCAACACTATATCAATCCGTTTCTGCACATCTTCTACTCGTTGCTTCTTAACTATGTTCTTTTACTTGTTCTCACGCAGTTGTTGATATTGTACGACAATTTTTCTCATGCACGGATTGTATCTCGGGTACCCTGGAAAAACGACACGGACTATGACGGGCTCCTCTTGTCGATAACGAACAACATCTGCGCGAGCCTGGCCGGCCACGACGAGACCCAGATGTCGGATGAAACCGAGCGTTTATATTTCCAGATCGTCGTTGACGGCAATGGATGGACTCTGGAGTGGCCGGTGCAGCGCTAGGCCGGGCGATGTTGCTGGTGGATGATGCTTGAGCGAGTGTTCATGGCAGGAGAGCTTGCAGTTGGTTACGGTTCATTCTGTAGCTGAGCTGTAGTTAGCCTCGACTGCTGTAGTGAATTCTCAAGCCCTAGTTTCGGTCCTCTGGTGTCGCCCATGTAACTGTACATGTAATTCACTTGTTTTCACATCCACGTCATGTTGCGCTACTTGCTATCCACATCGTAGATCTCACCTCGCCATGGATATATCGTCATTGTCACGGAGCCTTCTCACGTCTTTCTTATCGATTATCACCCCCGGTTGCCCCATATTGCCCCACTCAGTCCGCGCTTCCCCAGAGTACTCTAGCATGACACTATTGATCTGACTGCAGGATACGGAGCACGCTGTCACGATTGTGGCTGGATCGCAAAGCATCCATACTTCACAATGCGAGGCTAATGCGACAATACTAAGTTTCATTCATGTTCGTCTTGCTCCTAGACTATAGCTCTAATGAGTGTATCGGCTATTCAGTAATCAGCCTGGTATAAGCTTCGTGCGAGATGTCTTCGAACCATTCCTCATCCCAGATTACGATGAGAACAATGGAGATGGGGAACTAGGGCAGAAGAACCAGCTTCTTATCCCTTCCTGGCCGTCCACCATCCGGTGACTACCAACACTATCAATCCCAACAAGAGCCTGGGAAGCGATAGCCATAGGAATGGTGGGAACACTCAGAACGGACGAGAACGAGGGGAGAAATCAAAGCTAAACCTCAATCAACGCCTTTGCCTTCGCCCGGATCTCCTCCCCAAAGTCCACGGGGTTGTTCGGATCGCCGCCCGTCATCAGCGCCAGTTTACCCGTGGTATCGTTGACGAGGAGGTTGGTGAAGTTGTTCCGGCCGAGGACGTCCTGGGCCTTGCTGCGGGCGTTGGCGTCGCCGGCGCGGAACTCGTCCATGTTGATGTCTTTGAGTTCGCGATGGGTGTTGCGGACGAAATCGAAGAGGAAGAAGAGGGTTGGGTGGGTGTTGGGGGGTTGCATTTCCGGGTGGGCTTCGAAGGACCTGTTTGTTGCCACAGTTGGCATATCAGTGAAGGGTAATTCAGACTGGGCGTGAGGCTGAGACGATGGATGTTTGGCTGGCAGATACGTACGCGAGGAGCTCGGCCATTTTGGCATCGATGCGGTCGACGTTGAATTCGAGCTGTTCGGTGCTCATTTTGATTGTTGTAGCGGCCTAGATGGACAGTACTGTGATTGTGATGAGTGGGAAGATGTTTGTGAAAAACTATTAGTAACTAGCAAGTGAGCAGTTGATGAGATTTGTTGATCTTGGATGATGATCGAATCTGATGGATCTTATAGAGCTGGGTAGCTACTCTATAGATCAAGGAACGGAAAAGTCGCCGCGCGCCTTATCTTATCGCGCATCGATTTTCCCACGGCGCCAGAGCTTCAGCTTCGCTTTCGCATAGATGGGCATTTTATAGAGAAATCTGCATAAACTCTCGCTAATTGTGGACATTTTCCACCCTCGCCAACCTGGCCATAACCCCCTCATCATGGCGCCCCGTCAACCCCTCAAACTCCTCATGCTTCACGGCTACACCCAGTCCGGCACCCTATTCCACGCCAAAAGCCGCGCCCTCATCAAGCACATCACAAAGGCATTCCCCCTCCACGAGGTCTCTGCTATCTACCCAACAGGTCCCACCCGCCTCAACCCCGCCGACATACCAGGTTACGAGCCGCCCGCAGAGGGCTCCCCCGCAGAACAGCAGCAGGAGCAAATCGAAGCATACGGGTGGTACCGCCGCTCAAACACCGCCGATCCACCCCTCTACGTCGGCCTTGAAGGCGGCTTGGATGCCATCGCCAAGGTCCTCCGCGAGGAAGGGCCCTTCGACGGCGTGATCGGGTTCTCGCAGGGTGCCGCGATGGCCGCCATGGTTGCGTCGCTGCTTGAGCCCGGCAGAAAGGAGGCCTTTGAGCATTTCGCTGATCCCAAGGTTGCCTCGGAGGGGTTCGAGGTCAAGGAGCCTGTTGCAGGTGTTGCCTTTCCCGCGTCGTTCGAGGAAGCGGGCCATCCGCCTCTGAAGTTCGCGTTGTGTTACAGTGGGTTTCGGTCGCCGGGGCCGCGGTATCGGCCGTTCTATGAGCATCCGCCTGTTCAGACGCCCATTCTGCATGTCCTGGGATCGTTAGATGCTGTTGTTGATGATCAACGCAGTCGTGCGCTGGTTGATGCCTGTGCTGGTGATCCGGAAAGGGAGGGGAAGGTTGTGTGGCACCCTGGTGGGCACTTTTTGCCTAGTCAGAGACCATATTTGGATGCTGCGGTGCGGTTCATCAGAGAGCAACTGGAAGGAAACCAAGCGAAGGCGGATGCGAAAGAAGATGACGTTAGGGATATGGATTTGCCATTTTAGACTTGGGGTCGCCATTTGACCTGTACCACCCGCGTTGTGTATATCTGACTCGACTATTCAGATGATATCCATAGACTTAGAAGGTATTGTGCCTTAGAGGAATACAACATGACAATTGACGATCAGTACCGGGGGCACTAAGGTCTATGCTACAAGGAATTGGAAATCTGCGTTGCGCATTAATCCGCGGATCGTTCACTATCAGATTATTTTACACGCTGTTGCAAAATATCTAGTACCCAATCCAATCATGACCGCTATCCACATGTGCGCCACCAACCAGATGCGTCTCAACGAGCCTTGCCCTTCTCTCCGCGGGATGGAAGAATTCTGGCCATCATCTCTTCCTTGGTAATCAAATGATCGATGCGCTCCAATAGCCCAAGGAGGCTCTTCATGTCGCTGCTCCATTCGTTCAGCACATCATCGGCATCACGAGGCTTGGCGAAGTTGACCAATCGTGCTGGACGGTCAATCTTGGCATAGATGGTTTTTGATGTCACCAGCTCGCTGATGTACTTCTCCGTCTCTTCCTCGGTCAGATCGAGGAGCTCGGTCAGACGGCCCATCTGAATGCGAGTGTAGTACTTGGCAACCACGCGGACATTGTGTTCGATAACGCGCTTGCGGAGATCTTGCCACCTCTTGTGTGCCTGATCCTCCGCGGACTGGCTGGGTTGGGCGCTGAACACATCCGTGTTGCAGAGATGTGGACCAAACTGCTCGGCCACCATGGGCCAACGCATCAGCTCTGGGATGGTGAAGAGCTTGACCAGGCGAGCTTCAACAGGAACCAAGGAGAGTCGGGAATCTTGCTGAATGCGATGCAGCAGATCGGACTGTTCGTTGTCGTATGGAGACAGGACAATGTAGTAGACGATTCGGGCAAGCACCTTTGGCGACTATCGTCAGTTTTCACATGAGAAGGCAGGTTAGGTATCAGCTTACTGCTCGCAGTTGCTCAGGGTTGTTCTGCACTGATTCTGTGTCCAAGACCTCGCGGTAGTGCTTGCAAACTTCCAGATACTTGTAGTCATGATTTGCGAGAATGATCTGTTGCTCGTAATAACGGAGCTTCAGGTCTGTCACATCATCGTCGACTTCCATGGGAGGTTCATCGGGAGCGCGTGTCTTTTCTCTTTCCTCAGCCTCCTTTTTGAGCTTTTCAATTTCCTCTGCCGACTTCTTTGGCTTGCGGGCGAAGTATCGCTTGTTGATCTTGCGACTCAAGATCGCAGCTTGTGTCCAATCACCACGTTCTATGCAAAGAGCTACCTGTTCCAGGATAAACTCTGTCTTCTCACGTCTCGTCATGGAACCGAAGGTTTCCACCTGCAGTTCGCAAAGGATGTCGGCGGCAGCATTGAGGTCACCCTGGGATTTCTTGATGTTGGACAAAATGCGCGTTACACGAGCCCTCTCCACTTCGACGAAAATCTGCAAATAACGTATCAGCGACAAGCGTGCTGGAGCGACGGGCCTGTTATAGAGCACTTACCTTGCCTTCGGTCACGGTACGCAGGGTCTCAATCACAGACAACTTCACCTCCAGGTTGGGTGTGTCGTCCAAAAACTTCATCACCGTCTGAACCATCCTCGTTGTCGCCTGCTTGAGTTGTGCATGTTTCTTGGAGAGCAGGAGCACTTGGTCATTGAGGAGATTCCAGTTGCCCGAGTCCTTGCAGATTGTGACGATAGTGACGAGAATCCGTGATGTAGTCGCGAGATCAGAAGCCTGCATCGAGTGTGAGATTAGTCAGAGTCGTCAGGAAGTGGAAGTAGGAAACCCGTATGATGGCATACCTGTCGTGCTTGCTTCTCCAGAACCAGGAGCTTATCGATGGCAGCTTCAACATCGGACTAGAAAGACACTATCAGTACTAGATCACACCAAACAGTAAATGTTACAAACCTTTGCTAGCTGCTCTGCCTCTGGGATCAGCTTGTCAGCATCCTTCGAGAAGTCCTTCTCTGGCTTCAAGAGGCCTCCGTCGGACATGGTGACAAGCGCTGAGACGTCACTTCTTGAAACGGTCGTACAGCTACGTAAAAATTAGAGGTCGTGTTATTGTATATCCCGAAGGTTTCAACAATCCTGGAAGAAAAGTGCTGATGAGGTTTCAAATAGGTTCTAGATAGATGGACGTGAAGCTCTGACAGAGAGTACCTGCGCCTTGCTCTCCGGACCAGCTCCAGCTGGCGGAAGCTCTGCACCACGTGACATGGCATCACCGACCGATCGAACTACAGGCAACTGCATCTACATTCTCGCGCTCCTGTCGACAAGCCTGCCTTTCTCATGCACATCGTCGTTTTACCGTCCGACATTCTCTCAATGGAAGCCCTGAGAAATCGACAGCATCTCCTAGAGTGTTCAACCTCTTTAGAAGACGACTTCTATCGAAGCGCACACGATGTGATGTCCAACTGATGCTTGGGAACATGGCGACAAGAATCAGTCAAGACCTAAGATGGGGGATCTATGATCACTACCAGCATCTTGAAGGCTTTTGCTTTGGTTGCCATTCAAATCTCCACAAGTCTTTTGTCAATTCCTTCAACTGGGTCAATTATTATTGTTAATATGATTCCCTTATCAATCTACTCCATCTGTTCCTGGTAACAATGCTGAGAGGCTTAGATAAGCGAAAGGTACGATCACGCAATATCGCATTAACTATTTTGGGCTCTACAAACCAGCACAAAGAAACGTTTAAAGAGTCATTGTTTTTCTTGTTGCACTGGACAGATTCTTTTTGAATTTCTGTTCTATAATCCTCTTGATAAGCTTATCGGACCTGTCATCTGTGACAGTCATTGAGGGGATTCTCTGTTATCTCCAGCGTTTGAATAAACTTCATCCTGGGCTTGGTTTTTCCGCGGAAATTCAATAAGCGATTCGTCCCTTGATCTTAAGGCAAAGGGTCGTAGGGCGATTGGGCTAGATATAAGAGTCAGATTAGACCCTTCTGCCACGTTCATATTCACGTTTTCTACCTCATAGAAGAGAACGAAGGCTCTTCGCATTGGAAATTGCTTGCGGTGGCAACCTGTCACGATGAAGGATGCGTCTTGCGACAATGGCTCTCGCGCGCCTTTGCTGATGGCTATGAACGCCGAACATCAGGTGCACTTAATTATTGGGACGAACCCTCTAGCAGCAGCCCGTTGTGCGAAGAGTTTAGAAGTCGGCGCGAAACCCATCATCATCGCACCAGACACAGTGGATGTGCACTATACATTGACCGAGCGGTTCGAAGATGGCTCAGCGCAATGGATACGCAGAGCATTTCAAGACGATGATTTAACCACCCTTGGGAGGGAAGAAGTCGACCATGTTGTGGACATGGTGTTCGTCACTCTCGGCGGGAGTGACCCGTTGAGTACGCATTGATCAATTCGCCATATTGTAGCTTTCGTGGTTGTTGACGCTTCGACAGGTTCCCACGTTTCGAAGCTTTGCCGACGTCTGAGGATTCCGGTGAACGTATCTGACGCACCGGATCTCTGTTCCTTCAGCTTGCTCTCTACCTACTCAGATGGCCCTCTGCACATCGGAATTACGACTTCTGGCCGTGGCTGCAAGCTTGCTTCTCGTCTCAGGAGGGAAATTTCTGCTTCGCTTCCGCCGAATCTTGGGACCGCCATAGACAGACTCGGTGCGGTAAGAAGGCGTCTTTGGGCAGAAGACTACGCTGCAGGCCTCTGTGATGGCGTTTTCGACGGCGACGACGATGATTCAACAGGTCAAAAACACACTTTCAATAATCTAGTCACAGAGCATGACAAATCGGCCGCCAAAACAAGGCGTATGCGCTGGCTCTCTCAGATTTGCGAGTATTGGCCATTACGCAAACTCGCCACTATCACCGATTCTGATATTGAGAGAATCCTTCAGGCCTACTGCGCTGGTAAAGAAAATGCCAGCGAATTGAATGGGATTGCGTTATTATCTAAGAAGGGAAAGATTGTCTTGGCTGGTTCTGGTCCAGGCCACCCTGATCTGCTCACTCGCGCAACTTATCATGCGATTCAGAATGCAGAAATTATATTGGCAGATAAGCTCGTGCCTGCTCCGGTCTTGGACTTGATTCCGCGCCGGACTGAGGTCCATATTGCGCGGAAGTTCCCCGGGAACGCGGATCAGGCACAAGAAGAGTTTATGCGAATGGGAATCGAAGCCCTACGGCAGGGGCGGTACGTACTCCGGCTGAAGCAGGGAGACCCGTATCTCTATGGTCGAGGAGGAGAGGAGTTTGAGTACTTCCGAGGCGAAGGGTTTACTCCGCTGGTTCTTCCCGGAATCACTAGTGCACTCAGTGCCCCATTGTTTGCGGATATCCCTGCTACCCATCGTGGTGTTTCGGACCAGGTTCTAGTCTGCACCGGCACTGGAAGGAAAGGCGCAGCTCCAGAGCCTCCTACCTATGTACCGACTCAGACGGTTGTCTTCCTGATGGCCTTGCATAGACTGTCTGCACTTGTGGAATCACTGACCACACTACCGGTGGCAGATGACGGCTCCCGTGCGCGAACAGCCTGGCCCAAGAATACTCCATGCGCCATCGTTGAACGGGCTTCATGTACGGACCAGCGGGTTATTCGTTCGACTCTTGAGCACGTCTGCTTGGCATTTGAAGCTGAAGGGTCTCGTCCTCCCGGATTGCTCATTGTCGGAGCCAGCTGTCATGTTCTACACCAACCCAGCGGTCAAAAATGGATCGTTGAGGAGGGATTCCGAGGCTTTGATGAATTGCATCCTGTTTTGGATGAGTCTATGATGGATGGCAGTGTGCTGAAGGCCTCTTGATATGGCTAGCTTTTGCATTCGGTGTTTTTCTGGGCATGAGTTATGAGAGATCACAATCATGGGCGGGGAGTTAGTTTCAACAGGTCTTCGATTTGAGATAGAGATACCCATATAGATATGTTTCAACAATCTGAATTGATCCCATTGATTTCTCATTTAGCTTTTGCTTTAGATCAAAAAGGTAAATTCT